GCGCCACTGGTTGGTTTCCACTCATCTCGAAAGATCCATACGCTCGATTGCTGCTTTGTTTTGGGATCGTAACTGTAAATCCATGTTTTGTCACTTGTTACTATGTCCCACACCAAATTTGACGCTCCTTCGTTGAATCTGGTAAACATGGCATTGCACCAAGTGAAGCGATCCGTTTTTTGAGCCTCAAGTCAAATTGTGTGGGATCCACCGAGAGCACAGCTTTTTCACACCCAAATGTTTGTGTAGTTATTGATTGTATTTGACTCATGCCTATGCCTAAAGATGCCCGAATCTCATGGTATGTCACATGCCTGTCTGTTTTGATCATATGGCGCACAGCATCGAACACAGACATATCTAGATAGACGCCGCAAGTGTACGTACTTCGCGTGCCCAAAGTAAGTGAAATTCACTTACTTGCCGCTGCTACACTTCAGAACGCGCTCTACCGTTATCGTAAATAAACACTAGTCAAAATGCGAAAAAATGGATAATTGTGCCATTACAAACTGCAAAAGCACCATAACTGTGGGTAAACTGGTAAACACGGACGTTTCCTTCCACGGGCAAGTGATTTTGTAATCAAAAGATGCATAATTTATTTTAAAAACAATTATTTGTTATTTTGGTTTTGTATGAATTTCGAGGAAATGAATATGCAACCGAGTGAACAAAATTTACTATATTTAGAATCGATTAATTGAATGTAATACGCGTGTTTAGGCGTATTCCGTTCAATCAATAGATTTAATTCCATCACTAAATAGTTCTTGCGACGTCTAAGTGGGTACAAAAAATGAGGCACGCTTGGTTTTCATACAAATTGCTATACTTGCGGCGTCTATCTAGATATATGTCTGTGGCATCGAAGTTTTTATTGTTCACAGCAGTGGACGGGCGATCATCATGAAATTCGTCACTGAGATTCACACTACCGCGTTTGAATTCTGCAAACCAGCCATAAATAATCGTCTTGCATGGTGCTTCATCACCAAAAGCAGTTTGAAGCCGAGGGAAGCTCCGCTGAGCTGTTAAGTTACACTTAAAGTCGTAGAAAATCATACTACGAAAATTTTCACGATTTAAATCCATGGTGATGTAGACAACTAATTTCTAAAATGACGCCACTATGTAAAAACAAGTGACAGTCAGATGAAACAAACTGTATTCTACAGCCAAAGAGTTCCATTTTCAAATGTTGTAATTACTTTTTAAATATTGTATTATGTAAGTGGCCAGTTCCGGAAACTCATAGTGCGCCCCTATGTATTAGCGTACCATAATTTAAAATAATAGTAATTTATCTGTAGATTATTAAGTATGAAGCAGTAAATTTTATTTTTTTATTGCCAACCTTTACAAACTGTCCACTATAAACAATAGGAACTAGCTATGCTCTCAATTGTTCAAAGTTGGATGAAATCGCTTTACAATATAAGCTCGACTTTGTACACTAAATATTTATTATATTGGCATTGTTGGCTTTAATAAACATCTAATCGCATCTATATATTAGGTTAATATGACAGGAGCACTTAAAATCTTAGTAATTTTAAGAGTCCATTACTCAGAATACATATATAATATATAATAGAAATATATTGTGTTTTTAACACAATATATTTAAATATCACATCATCATTTTGTTGGGTTCATTAAAAAAAACATGAGCCAACAGACTCAAGAGTGTAATTTTGATTTAAGAAAGTTTCAATTATCGCTCAAGGCATAATTAATGCGATTTTCTCCAAACAAGTTCTTTTATCATGGCTTGACTCATAGGTTTATAGTTATTGTATGTATGTCAAACAGGGTTTGGTGTGCATTTATACATTAAATGTAGGATCAGCGGACTAAAACACTTATGTTAAAAAAGTGCATTTATATTTATGAAGTTCCTAGATTTTCGCGATTGTTCCACATAAGAAATGACACTATTTTTCCAGATTTAAATCGCGTATATTTGTTTTTTTAAGCGAAACAACATTTCGGGCCTTTTACAGGTCCTACAGTACCAGAAACGTCGTTTCATTTGAAAAAACAAATATACACGATTTAAATCTGGAAAAACAGTTTCATTTCCTATGCATTTATTTTTTTAATATATAAGTAATTATATTTTTTGTGTCGTTTATAATGTTGTGAAGAGGATGATCAATTTGAAAAAGACCCTAATAGAATTTAAGGTAAATTAATGAATAAATTAATTTGACTTGTGTGCTTCAGCGGGTAGATGTATTAATTTAAATGAATGATGTAGGTTTTTACCTATGTGCTTTAGTCAGCTGCCCCAGAATTATAACATCGCAATCTCCTCAACTAACCATATGTAATTTTGATAGCATTTTGAATATTATTGTTTTATTTTGTGTTATATCCTAAGCTAATTTTATTTTATATATTAATCATTTTGTCATATTCAATTATAATCTCCATGTACTTAAATAAAAATTACATTAAAATCTTCGTTTTTATATTGGCGTCAAGCAGAACTTTTTTAAAGCAGAAGATTTTTAAAGAGAACTCAAATACTGCTAAGTCTTATGCTGGCTTCCCACGGCCCGTGGTTGCACGGAGCACGCCACGCGAGCTCGCGCCAACGCGCCCTGTTGAGAGCACTCTTCCGCCTGTGCCGGCGAGGGCTCACATGTATAGACCTATGGCGCGAACTCGCTCGTGATATCACGAGCCGTGGGAAGCCGCCTTCAGTTACTTAAACCGGAAATTGCTTTCGTAATTTAATTACTACCAACTAACCACACATGAAAAATAAACATTACCCTCAACTTTTTCAAACTATCTTCCGTCACACAATTACTATGGTTTCGTGTCCTTTTTTACGTATAGTAGTAGTACTCGTATCATAGGTATTCTTACCGGCGTGATAAGAATTACCATTACGTAATAGTCGAAAAAGTAGAAGAATGTAAATAGATATGTTAATTGGCCATAACCGTACTTAAATATTAGTTTAACAAATAAATTTATAAAGATTATTAACAATATTGCAAATTATAACGTAATCTTGGTAAATTACTTACCAAATTAACTGAAAATATCTGGTTTTGGAGGTAAAAAAAGCAAAATATGAATGGATTTTATGGAATTCCTACAAAATTCACAACACACTATGCCGGTAATCATAGACAAAGGGAGTAGACACTAGACTAGACATGAAGCTGACCACAGATATTTATTTTTAAAGCATTGGCTTCAGAGACATCAGGTTAATGGTAACAAATAATCAAGAAACGCACAACGTAATTATCAACTAAAAATTAATTCGTGTAAAAAATGTAACTCCGAACACAGACATTATTGTTGTGAAAAAAAAAATTATACAAAAATACCATTGACTTACAAATAATTTTTTTTTGCTTTTTTTGGCTTGTCGCAGTTAGAGTTTCGGCCACTGATAAGGATTTTGACTTTGTCCTTAAAATGGGGAAACTTTAAGAAAAAAAGGAAATTTTGTAAAGGCATTAGAAAGATGGTATGTAAGTAGATACAAGGAATCTAACCATACAATAAGTATTGTCATCATGTCAATAACGTCTTCCGTTTCGTTAATTCAAACGCAGATCGCTTCGTACAGAATACTTTCCGCGTGAACTCCGCACAAGTCACCCGTGCGTTCATGCTTCATTGTAGGCAACTGTCTCCCGTGAATATACGCACTAAATTAAATACTCGATTGAGCACTGCGGATACTACCCATGCGGATGGCCCACATGCGGACGATCCGTACGGGCCGTACGCGCAGCTGTGAAACCAGCCTAAGCACGTTTTGTTTTACTAAGGGCACCGTCCGGCGTCCATTCGTAGATGAAAGTGTAAGACAGCAAGAGCGCAATAAATACCATTATAAGTTAGTCGATATTTAATGACATTTCAGCTATTTATTGAGAACGTATTTACTAACATGACCACCATAATTCCAGTTGAATGAATGTTTAGTCACAACTCTAGACAAAATAATATAATTTCTCAACCATCGAGTAGTGCTATGTAGCGTTGGCGAAAGGAACAGATACCATTTACTGCAACGCAGTATGGCGAAGGTCATTAAGATCCACATTCTTAAGAAGCACCATGACCGAGTTTGCCATCTATAATTTACACCAAAAATAATAATAATTGCAAAAGGTGCAAATCCATAATGCCTTACATGTTCGCCAAGAAATAGTATGTACCTATAGCCTAAAAACGCACACCTTTCTTACATTTAGATACATTGACCCCAATTTTTCTTCTTTTTTCTTCCTTTGTCTTCGTTGGAGTTTTGAAATTTAATAGTTTACTATATATTCATCGTAGCAAATAAACTATTTAGGGCGAATCCAACCAGATTAGAGGATAATGTAAGGGTCGTATTCCAAAACTCTACTCAAAGCTCTAGTTAGGACTTGAGTATGATTTAAAGCACTAGAAATCATACTGAAGTCCTTGCCATTAGGGTCGTATTTCCAGTGCTTGAAATCATATTCAAGTCCCAACCTGGATCATTGTGTAGATTTCTGGAATACGACACTCAGTCACAGATAGGGGGATTAAATTAATTAATCATTAGTAATAGCTTGATTTTTCTTCAGCGTATTAGTTTTTCATTTTGAGGATATAAATGTATATTATTGTATAATCTTTCACAGTTAGAATTATTATTAATTAAATAAACGAACTTTTGTAAAATGTTACTTTTTGGGTAACAAAATGTAATTTTCATTTTTCGACTCAAGGGCACTGGCAACACTGATTGTGACGTTGGTGTTGTTTCTGTCTGTGGTGTTGTTCTCATCTCAAGTTCTCGACAAATAAAATGTTCTTATGTGCTCAATTAATAAAATAGTTCTCATATTAAAGTAATTTCGTGACATTTACGGTCGTAAAAATGGCTTAAAACATGCTTGGTGATATCCAACTAACCAAACGTCTTATAGTAATTGCTTTAGTTCTTGGTGTTATTTATATTTTGAAGGAATTTGTGTTTGTTTAGCCGCTATGACTACTCACCGAGTTGCTTATTTCTACAATGCTGATGTTGGAAACTTTCATTATGGTCCGGGTCATCCGATGAAACCTCACAGGCTGTCTGTGACCCACAGTTTAGTGTTGAACTATGGGCTGCACAAAAAGATGCAAATATACAAACCCTACAGGGCCAGCGCTCATGATATGTGCAGATTCCACAGTGAGGACTACATAGAGTTTCTACAGAATGTCACTCCTCAGAATATACAGAGTAAGTAAACTGTACCCTTAATATGCGACTTCGATTGATAATATTATACGCGTTTAGGTAACCTTGATAGATAAAGTATGAGCATAACAATGGAACCTTGAAGATATGGGCACAACAAATTTCATTGTCACTTGTGTGGAAGTCGCTGAATTTATTTTGCATTTAGATAGCTCGCTGCAAATATATGTTAAGGGGTCTAAGAGATGTTAGTTTAACCCAATGTGACTGTAGTGCTCTAATACAGTGCATGTAGCACTTGCTGGACCGCTCCTATTCAAATGTGCATGAGGGAAGACCTCAACATGGCCATAGATAACATCTCAATACCAGAAGCAAAATAGGTGCCTTGACGTCGAGTTGCGGACACCAGCCCGTTACACCAAGTACCAGAAGTATCAATTAATATAAGGGACAAACCATGGTTTCTCAGGAGAGCAAAAAAAGATTTTATTTTTTTAAATCTGTCCATAACTTTTTACTGTCTGCTTCAATTTCGATTGTGTCTAGAGTAAAGTTTTTTAGAATTTCCTCTTCTTATAAACCAAAGATTTAGGAATGCCCAGTGGTTTAAAATATAGCATGAAAATTATACATAATTCTATTGTAATTGTAAATTCTTTACAATAGAATTACGTATCACTTCACTTTTTATTTTTATGGCTCCATCAATATGAGAACTGATGATTTTGCCACTGTCACAGTTGAAAGAAAAAAAACGAAACAAAAAAAAATTTTCGCTAAGCTCTAATAGGACATTAACCGGTGTTGGTAAGTTGGACTACGGGAGTACTCAGTTGAGAATGTAAGACCAAACAGCAAAACAATATTTATAAATATATGTTATTTAAGTGGATAATTTTCTATTTCTCTTCCTGCTTACACTATGCTTGACGGTTTTCACATAAAATTGATATTAGTAATGTAAGGCACAACTAAACATCTTTTTAAAATGTTTGTTAATGTAAGGGATTACTAATGCTATACTTTAAACCACTGGGCATTCCTAAATTTTGATAATACCAATTGATTGAGCGAGAACTTCCGAATGCAATGACATATGTAACTCATTTTTTACAAGATGTCCCTTACGTTAATTGATACTTCTGGTACCGATATGGCATGTATTTAAATGATCATTTTAAATTTGCAAAAGCATAACTAACTTAACCAAATAACAAAAATGTATTAAATTTATGAAAAAAAAAAAACATTCCTTATAATATATTTTTATCTATATTAGTATACAATGAGCATTAAACATTAAATTTAGATACCTATTTTTTGTAATTCGTTTTATTAAAATACTTTTTTATTTAATATACAATATTTGTATACTAATATTGTATTCATTATAATATAATTTGACCTGAAACCATGTTCGGGAATGCAAGCAGATATGCTTTGTCTGCTTTTTCATATACTACCCTAACATAACCTACTGAATGGAGAACACCACCAAGATTTGACCTATATCAAAATATAGGTCTATTAAATATTATTTATAACGTAGGATATTGTGTCTAATAATTAAATATTATTCATAACTATCAAATGTTAACTTAGTATGCTTAAACATAATGATAGTGTTACCTTGAATGCAGTTCATTTTTATTTTATCTGTGGATCAACTAATATAGACGGAAAAATGAATATATATGTCAAACATAAAAAAAATATTGATTATTTAAAAAAACGTCCACATTTTCCATAGATCAATTATATTTTTGAGGATCAAATAATATTATCCCATAACATATTGTTCAAAGTGTAGCAACATTGTATTGCCACTGTAGATGAATTATGAGTTGAAACAATTCTTATATTAATAATAGCTTAGATAGCTCGAAAGCTTTGACTTTAGAAAATAGTAAATATTGATTTTTTAGGTTTTCACAGTTGAACCGTGACCATGGGACCTTTAAAGGGCCTGAAACATTGGTTTGTTTGAAAAATCAAATATATGCGATTTAAATCCGGAAAAATAGTTTCATTTCCTAAAATAGTAAATAACCATGAATAATTCATACTATAAGTAGGTTACAACATTTGTATTGTATGTTGGTCTTTTTAACCCATATTGTTAGCATAAACTGATGACGTTATTTGAATAGTCTTACACAATCATAACGATTATTGTCAATGCCATTCTAATACTAATGGCTGTTACATACAATGTTTATAAATAGTGAATTATTAATATCAGTACATGGAACTTGAAATTCTGAATTAAGCTATGTATATAAACTTCATGCTATCTTACTCACTCAATCAGTACTTAATACTTATAAATAATCTCTTCAATAATCTCTTCAATAATCTCTTCTTTTTAAAAAAATTGTTTTAGATAAGTTAAGATTTATTTTTTTCTTGACTCTTAATTAAGAGAATGTGCCAGTCCTATTGTACCTTATTCTAATTGTTACACAATTGACAGTAAAAATGATTTTTTAAATTATAATTATTAAAAAATAGAAGGTCAACTGGCAATAATGTAGCATGTTACACAACATTTTTTTAAATTTTGATAAAGGTTCAGACAGAATCTCTTGAAATAATTTATTGTTGTAGTGGTTAATTTAAGGTCTCTTCTCAGGAGACAATTTGGGTTGTAGGCCATGATCACTCACAGATTTTTCTCTTGCCTTTACCTAAATTATGTTTTTTTTTTAAATTTCAGGCTATTCTAAAGACCTTCTCCACTACAACATAGGTGATGATTGTCCAGTCTTCGAAGGGCTCTTTGACTTCTGTTCAATGTACACTGGAGCATCACTGGAGGGTGCGATGAAACTCAACAATAATGCATGTGATATAGCTATTAACTGGTCCGGGGGCTTACATCATGCTAAGAAGTTTGAACCTTCAGGTTTGTTGAATAAATTATCATAAATGTAAAGTTCTATGTTACTAAATACAGGTCAGTATTTAGCATGTAGTCAAGTGTAAGTGAGGTGGACAAAAGACTTGGTGATGCTGGAGGGCAATGGCAAGGGACCTGTCTAATCCAAAAGACAGTCTGACATTTACAGGGACATAGTAAGTCCTTTAATTTCGAGATGACGCACTCTTTGGAACTGTTGATCAACATTAACTGCCACTCAACATTAACTGTCACTGCAACTGAAACTGACACTCGCCTAAGCCTAGTGGCCGCCATTAAGGCAATAATAGTAATATTTAGGAAATGAAATTATTTTTCCGGATTTAAATCGCGTATATTTGTTTTTTCCAAACAAGCCTTCGGGCCCTTTACAGGTCCCATGGTCATGGTTGACTGTCAACCGTGACCATGGGTTTGACTGCATGTTGGCGAAATTTAAATTAAAAAAAAGAGATTAATTCGACTGTCATCACTTTTGTACAATATATCGCACTGTTAATATATAGTGTATTAACTCAAAAAGTGTATTTTTTCAGAATCAACGAAAAATTAATTACCTATTCACTTCCCGTGAAAGATTATTAAAATTTAGGTATAAAAAAAGTTTATTACAGACATCTGAACAATTTCGTACTTTCCAAGTATACGTAAAAAAAAAAAAAAATCTTTTTATATTTTTGAGTAAAGACTGTTTTGTCCAGAACTAGCTCACATAAAGTTTATCTCATTTTGAGTTAAGTAGATAAGAAATATAAAAAAATGACGAGTAGATATCTTTTCATTGTTTCTTACAATATTCTAATGACGGTTTTATTGACGTGTCAATCAAATTTTAAGTTCAGTAATTGTATAATTTTGAATTTCACGTATTTTGACTTACGACACTATTGCTTTATGTTTTCAGGTTTTTGCTACGTAAACGACATTGTAATAGCAATCTTGGAGCTTCTGAAATATCACCCAAGAGTTCTATACATAGATATAGATGTGCACCATGGTGATGGCGTCCAAGAAGCATTCTACTTAACAGATCGCGTGATGACAGTCAGTTTTCACAAGTATGGGAATTATTTCTTCCCTGGTACGGGAGATATGTATGAAATTGGGGCCGAGAGCGGACGGTATTATTCTGTTAATGTCCCATTGAAAGAAGGCATTGATGATCAAAGTTATGTACAGGTTTGTATGATTTATTAAATACTAATTAGTAGCAGTAGAGCTTCTTGTGAAAGAGTTCACCCAGGCAAGTACTGCCACTGTTAGCATTACTGCGTTCCGGTTTTGAGGAGTAAGGGTGCTGGTGAAATTACAGACACATGAGACTTGTTAACTTTCGCAGGGTGTCGGGCGCAGTGGCAGTGCCCCTCAGATCTTTGCGATTTAAAATACTGAGTGGCACTGCAACTGTTATGGACAGGCGTGTAGCGCACCATCAGGTGCACGACTTGTGTGTCCCATCACTACATATTATTAAAATATTACCTCTTATTATACATATATACTCCTTTTTTCTAATCTAATAATAATATAGCCTTTTGACACACATTCTTTAGCTTTGTATTTATAGAATGAGTATCAAATTCAATATTTGCATTTCCATATGCTTATTTACTATATGTTTTATTGTTGTATGTTGTGCCATGTGCTGTTGGCAAATGTATAATATTTTGCAAAAGTCTTATTCTTTTTGCTTAATGGCACTACCCTTTAGATTTTGCCAGTATCGAGTTTTCCGAGTTTAGTAATTTTAAGGGCTTCTGTAGACTCTGCTATTCAGTGTGATATAAAAAAATACTTTCTTATTAGACTTTAGAGCTGCAGAGCTGTTGAATAAACTACTTATATACACACAAAAAAGAAGTCAACAGGGGATATAAAATAAAGAAATGAATTAGTCAAAAAACACACTAATTCACGGAATATCTTGCAGCTAGCACTCAACCAAACAGCAGAGTCTCCTTACAAAAGTCTATCTGTTTAGATAGTGTTCTAATTGTCTATGAATGAATCATAATTCCAAACTTTAGCCTAATGTCCTAACTGTTGGCACATAAAGGGAACTGGACAGGAAGTAAATAATTTAGCGTATTGACTACGTAAACTGGGTTTACGGACTTACTCATTCTCTCTTATTAGCCATTGTACTTCAATTACACTTGCTCTTACATTGGGTTATCATGACGGTGTTGTAATTAAATTAGATTGTATTTTTTTAATAATATTAAGTGACGGGACGAGCGAGTAGTGCGCCTGATGGTAAGCTATAACAGTTGCAGTGCCACTCAGAGCTTTAAATCGCATATATTTGAGGGGCTCTGCCACTGCGCCCTTCACCCTGAGACGTAGGTTGATAAGTCTCGTGTGCCTGTAATTTCACCAGTACCTTTATCCTTCAAAACCGGAACACAGTAATGCTGACATTACTGCTTGGCGGCAGAAATAGGTAAGGTAGCAATACTTCCCTGGGCGAACTCTTTCACAAGGAGCTCCACTGCTGCTAAAATTAATATTATAATTAGTAATTAATAATACAAAGATTTAACACAAAGAACAAAACGATCTGACAAGCCTCGAACCTGCGTCTGTTTTTGCAAACTTGGGAAACCGCTCTAGCAATTGATCTAGAAATCGAGTCAACAGACCTTACGAATTTTTCTATGCATTTGTTACAAATCTTTGTTTTTATTTTTAACAGCTTTTTTCCCGTAGCACCACGTGTGAGAAATCTATGAAAGTCTTTATTCACTCAACCAGGTACCTTTACAGCCCCTTGTTCCCAGTCGTCACCACTGGCGATAAATGGAATATGTTACGAAATAATATCAAATGGGATAAAAAACCCATATGTTGCTAGGTGGTGACAAATAGGGATGAAAAATCTCAGTTGTTAAAAAATCCTGTATGTTGCCAGTAACAAATCATTATACCGAGACGTCCTTCCACGCACTGTTGCTGTTCTGTTTGATATTGTTATATCTTTTATTTTCTGATGTTGTAGTTAAATGTACCAATCGTTGCTAAATGACTCTCATCACGTGTTGCCTAGAGGACTTGGTTTTCTCGCCAAATCCTTCCTTAAAAAACAGCTTATGTTTTCAAGTAAACGATATATGTATACTTATTTAGTTTTTTCAACATTACAGGTATTTAAACCGGTAATATCAAATGTGATGGAATTTTATCGACCGACGGCGATAGTACTACAATGTGGGGCAGATTCTCTGGCTGGAGACAGGCTTGGATGCTTCTCGCTATCCACGAGGGGACACGGGGAGTGCGTCAAGTTCGTCAAGAATTTGAATGTGCCGACACTGGTTGTTGGTGGTGGGGGGTAAGAATGAAATAAACTTTATTTGATGGCGTATTTCTGAAAGATGTGCGTCTTGATCATAGCATGTGGGGGGGGCTATGGCCTCTGGTGGAAAAGGGCGTGCAGTGTATGTATATACGTATTTCTGTTTGCAAATAACTTTCATGCAAGTATGTATAGAGTACTCGTTTAGTAGTGGTAGAACTCCTTGTGAAAGAGTGCGTCCAGGGAAGTACTGCCACCTTACCTATTTCTGCCGCCAAGCTGTAATGTGAGCATGACGCGTTCCTGTTTGGAGGGGTAAGAAGGGTGCAGGTGAAATTACTATCACTTGGGACCTGTCTACTATGTCTCAAGGTGATGATGACGGAAGCAGTGGCATTGCCTCTAAGATCTTTGCGATTTAAAACTTTGAGCGGCACTACAACTGTTATGGAAGGACAGGCGTGTCGCTTATCACCAGGCGCACGACCCATCACTTGGTATTATAAAATAAAAAATACGTTAACTATCAAAACAAAGCACATCCAAGGTCACATAAGCAATTAAAATCATACCGAAATATCTGTTGACTTTAAAAAATTAACTTTTTTAAAGGCTGGTGAAAAGGTGAAATTTGTGAGCTTAATATTTAAAATAGCTCAAATTATTTTAGTACAATCTCTCGAATGACGTTTTGTTATAATATGATTTTGTGGCAATAGTTCTGAGAGCAGGCAAGAGCAGAATTACAACAGAGGAGTCGATTTGCACAGATGTTTCTGTCGAGTCATCGCCAAATTTTTATGCTTGTTTAAATTACAGTTTTCCGTAAGTGCCTTGATTAGCATAATTGTACCATCACGACTTTCCACAAATGGAGTAGGCAGAGACTAAGGATCTCCAATCGTTGCACTTCTAATGTACCAAAGCCAGGTATATTTAAGGCTATCTGGTGTTGGGTTATAGAAAAATTTCCATTTTGAAAAGTCGTATCTTTCAGAAACAGAAATGTTTTTCCGGATATTTTTCCAATATTTTTCCACGTTTGACGTTGACACCTGTCAAAAGTTGAAGTTACTGAACGAAAACGATGTAGTCAATAAAAAGGATTTTTTCCACTCTTGTGAAATCATTTTATTTCTCGTTTACGTGTCTTTTAGCTTTAGCAAGTTTATTATATAATTCACGCTAAACGATATTTTTAAACGTAGATTTGAGCCTGCGAGATGATATTTTTCTAATTTTTCCAATTTTTCGGACATTTTTCCGGAAAAATTTCCACTAATTTTTCAGACAATTACCCAACACTATTCCCATCTAATACTATATAGAGTCAGCTCTTATCATATTATGTTTTGTTTTAAACTAATCTCACTTGCAGGTACACGCTCCGTAACGTGGCTCGGTGCTGGACATACGAGACATCGCTTCTAGTTGAGGAAAATATATCCAACGAGTTGCCCTACACAGAGTACTTGGAATTCTTCGCGCCTGACTTCCAACTTCATCCGGACATTAACAGGTAGATGAAAAATAGATGATTGTTTTAGTTTTGTGGTACATTAGTAGGTTGTATGATACTGTTCCTATGGCAAGCGGATAAAGAACCAGAAGAAAAACATATTGTAATTTCTAGATAAATTGTATGATACAAAATTACAAGTAAATTTGCTATTCATTGCAATATTTATTTGTATATTTTTTGTGAAAGTAGTCCACTGTTTGTTTGAATTGATACAAATATCAAAGAAACTGAGAGAAAAATTTTTGCGATTCATTATTTTTTATTTTTTAAAATTTGTTAGGGTCAAAAAACAATCGATGCAATTAAAATGTATAACTTTTTTTACAGTAAATATGTGATGATTCCGTCACCAACACCGTTTACCACCAACTAGTACAAAATTTTCAGAAGTGGTGATGCATTTCAGTAATAAATGACTAAAGAAAAAATTATATTACAAAAAAGTTATGTACAATTCAAACCAAATCTATCGTTTCTTACAAAAAGAAAAAAGAATTACGTCCACCGTGACCATGGGACCTATAAAGGGCCCGAATCGTTGGTTTGTTTGAAAAAACAAATCGACCCCTCCTACGTAAAGTATCGTATGTCGAAATCGCCAAGTTTAGTTTATATACGCGATTTAAATCCGGAAAAATAGTTTCATTTCCTATAGGTAGTCGTTTTTTTTCATATTCGGATTAGACTATTCGTTTGCCTCTTTAAATATTTATCTCGTTTAACCTCTCACCCTGTATAAGTATTGAATAAAAATAACAATTGAAAAGAAAATAACTATATACAAATTCGAAGTAAGTCCGAAATTAACTTTTTAAACATACTACAATTATAATAACGCGCATACACTCATTGCCCCGCACTAGGAAAACCCTGTGATCGCGGGTGCCATGGACACACACATAGACAACCACAAATTAACCCAAAATCACGAGATGAATAAATGTAGGCCATACAAATATTTCTCCCGGCCCGGAACCTGTGCGTGGCAGTCCAGCATGCTAATCGCGGCCACGGAGACAGTCGTCATGGGATTATACCAATGTGGGTAGATAAAGATACAAAGATAAAGTCAGAAAAAGCTTCACACACGGAAGTGAATAAGGGCTAAAAAAGCGTCGTGCGTTTCGCATCGGTGGTACGAGCCGATGTGATGCCGTTGATAAGTGTGGTGATTCCTTTAATCTTTCATACTCCCGATCTAGTGAACGGTGGCTTCGACGGCCAATCGGCGTAATGAGATAACTTGATAAGTCAATCAATAAGCTTAAGGCGATAATGTTAAGCTATATATTATCGCCTTAAACCGATTCCGCGTCGATAACAGAACAAAATGTTGATTGTGAAGTCAGAAAATATGTTGGTTGAAAAGTCACAAAGTGGGATAAAGTCTACTAGACCGTACGAATTTTTAAATGCCCTTGTTGCAGATCTTTGTTTCGTTTTTGGCTTTTGACGACTTTTTTGCCGTAGCGCCATTTGTGAGAAATCCATGAAAGCTTTTCATCACTCAGCCTTTAGGCACGGCCCGGTATGCTGAAGACGCTGGTTCGAATCTCGAAGGAGTTTTTCTAAGTGTTCGATCTTTGTATTATTGTAATAATAATAAAGTCATTTATTTCAGCCCATAAGATAATGGTTAATTACAAAAGAAAACCTTGAAACCATGTTATTTGAATAATGGTAGATAATTAAAATATAAAACAGCTAAAATTAAAATTTGAAAATTAGGAAAATGCACAAATCAGTACTTAATTTGCCGTTGCAGCGATCTTTACCCAAAACTTTAAAATTGTATAGTCAAAACTATGGGCAAACATCTTAAGGATGCCATTGCCACTGTCACTCACTCGCTTTAGCAGAGACATCTGTTTTATTAGTCATCTGTTCGCGTCTAGGCAAACACGTATTATAACTAGTGGAGTAATTTAACTTATTCTTACATCTCTGTAAGTCTTCTGGGCCCTAAAAAAATCTGCTAATTTTAAATCATCGCAGTTGTGTGTCGATAGTGGTGTTCTGCTAAATTTAGTAGTAGTGGGTCATTGGCTAGCCATTGAGCTACTGTTCAAATGCCATTGTAATTGTTTGGTATTCTGCTCTTCAATGACGAGTTGACAGTAAGTAGATGGCGTAGTGTATTAATATTAGATTGCGCATTGTACGCTGTTACGTCTTCGCAGCCCTACTATATGGCGTCGAAACTTGGAATCTCACACATAATACAAGGAAGCTGGAGGCTTTTGAGATGTGGATTTACCGCTGTACTTTGAGAATCTCTGCCGTCCGCTAACTATCCTAAAAAAACCATAACTCAGTTTTAGTATATTGAAATTAATGATATTTCAGCTGTGCATTCTTAGAGTAAGTTCCGATGAGTCGAACAGGTTAACTAATTTTAACTGTTTTAAAAGAGAATTTTGTAATCTGTCTTTTCCTATATAGAACGGATATTTGACCATTTGTCACTTAGCCGCGTTCAGTTAGTGGATGCAGATCTCGTGGCGTGACCGGGTTACAAATGCAGAAGTACTCAATAAACTGAAAAAGAAACTGGAGCTTATGAACTCCATTCAGTGCAGGAAGATGTCGTACTTTGGCTACGTCATGAGGAATAATAAATACAAATCACTCCAGCTCATCGTTCAAGGCAAAATTGCTGGACAACGAAGTATTAAAAAATTTGAGGGAATGGTTCGGCTGCAGTACCACCTCGCTATTTGAGCCTCTAAAGTCAGGATTGCCATAATGTTGTCCAACTTCCGATAGGAGAGGAACCCTAGGAAGAAGATTAATATTGTATATATATTTAATTTACAAGACTAAATTGCTAATTAAACGAGTTAAGAATTAAGATATGCATAGTAATTTCAATGGTAGTTTTAGTAAGGCAACATGGACAACACTAATTGTTAGTGATTGAACGAATGAATGTCACTGTACTTCGAAGGGTCGCGTGGCGATTAAAAAAGTGGTCGGCGACTCGGCGATATTTAGGCTATTTTTGATATAGGCAAAGGCGATTTTAGGCTATCAAGTATGGGGAATTACAAATTTGATTGAGGATTTTGTTGGGAATGGAGTTTCAAAACTAATTTGGAGGTTTGAGTATTTCTACGTGTGGGGAATTGGAGGATTAAGAGAATTCATATTCCCCAATTCCCTGCAGCGAGCAAAATTGCTTTCCTTGATTATCAGGGATTTTATGGCTTGGGCGAATATCGGTTACTTTGCATCCGTAAATTGGCGAATTAATGTAGTAAAAGTCTGGCAACACTGGTCATTCTCTCAGAGACTCACTGCCATTGCAACTATATTTTAGCAGAATAACAAATATTATCATAATTGTATTGCACAATCTCAGTGGAGTCTTAATGGAATTACAATGTTTCAAGAAAATTAGCAGAATTGGGATTCTGGTAGCTGTAAGGGTACCAGGTTAGAGATGGGCAGTACTTAAAACCTAATCAACCCACCCGGGTTTTTACTCAAACCGGTTTAACTAATTTGGTATACTTCCATAGGTGTTTATTACAAATTTCGATGTTAAAAATATTTTTTAGAAGAAAAAGAGGCATACCCGCCTTGCAATCCTGTGGATTCTCCCTACTAAGGATGCTTTCGGCTTCGGCTAATTTATTTCAATGCCATTTTCAAGCGAATCGATTCAATCGATTTAAATTAAATCGATTGTAATAATATCATTAAAGAACATAACTTGATTCGCATCAAATATTTAGTTGTAAATAGCTTTAGCCCACGATTTCTGGCATTAATGGGTTTTTATCCAATTTAATTAATAAACGAACTTCTTATTAGAATTAGAACGAATTAGGGAACGGCATTAACAAACCGCCGGACGCTTGCTCAACTCTGTACCAGCTGAGTGAAAATACTTTCATGAAAAGAGAACACATAGAGAAATTATAAATCTATGGGCTCCATCCCTAGCCCAGTTGGCAGAGCGGTAGCCACGTTGAGACAACAGTCGCTGGTTCGAATCCACTATAACAATTATGAATTTAACCCTCATTATTCTTCAGAATTAATAGAAAACAGTGGGTTACAATCTTTTATTATCATAAAATAAATACTAGCTCGAGTCGGAAAGAGAGATTGCCATTACTCTTTTAGACAGTTTTTAAATAAGTGTATCTAAACCTAGCTTAATTCAAAGAAAACTAAATGTCATGACCCGACAGTCGAAGGAAGTTTTCTTTGTGTTTGTTGGATCTTAATTTGAAATACATGTGGTTGGTGTAATTACTGTGTAAATTATATTTTTTTATTTTATTAACAACATTGTGGCTACATAAGGCCTGTTTTCAGGCCGGATAGTACGAACAACGCGAACAGCAAACAGTACCTCGAAGCCATCACAAAGTACGTGTACGACAACCTGAAGATGTGCCAACATTCACCTGCTGTTCAGATGACACATATACCAGGTAATTAAGGATGATTTATTGCTTTTTCTTGCATGTTTTGAAAATATTAAAGTCACAGGTCGTCCATGGACTTTGACACTGGGATGTCGTGTGTACAACGTTTTTAACAATAACGAGACTTCCCGAAGCCCTGAGCAAAACCAGTTCAATATTTTATTAGTTCTATTTTTCTAAGTTTTCTAAGTATATACTATGAGTTTGCTATACAAAATCAAAACACCTTTGTGCGAACAGTCTAGACTAGACTAAGTGGTCGAACAATCGACTATTCAATTTATTAAATTCTCAGTAAGTCGAAATTTGTATTTTTTTATTTGTAATGCTACTATCTATATTAAACCATTAACTTTCCCAGGCGACTTCTTCCCCGAAGAGTACCGTATCAAAGATGAACCGGACCCAGATGTTCGTATCAGCCAAGAGGAAGCTGACAAGATGGTGGAACCAAAGAACGAGTTCTACGATGACGAAAAGGACAATGATAAGGAACCCGTGCCTGAGAAAATGGAGATATAGCATACGAACGGTGAGGTTGACCCGTTGGCCATTTGACAACGGAGGTATAGGAAAAAATTTCCTATACTCAAGGATTTTTGTGAGTGAATTCAGTGGACAAGAGAATTGTGAATGTTTTTATAGTGTTAAATAATAATAAACCTGGTGAGGTTGGTTTATGTAAAGGTGTTGTGGATAGACCCATCAAATCAACAGATAATATTAAAGTCTGATTTTAATAGAATATGGATAATAAACTTGATCCGGTCATTGCCCATTCAACAACGAAGGTATAAGAAGCATACTAAAGGACTTGTGTGTGATTTATTAAGTGTACAAATGCTGTGAACATGTGTTAAGTTTTTAGTGTAAGAGTGTTGTCAGACAAGCTGCATTTCGACTACATCTACTGCGATATAGTGAGAATGTAGCCAGCGAATAGCAAACTCCGAGCTGTATGCTATTGCACATTATACACTCCCGGACAAATAAATTTAACCCAGCTTGCATTTTCAGTATTAAATTCTCTGAGCTGGAAAAATTTTTAATTGACTAAAAACTATTATGCAATTTGGAAACTGGTACATTAAACCTTAAGTTAAATTTCCATAAGTCTTTGTTGAAAATTTGATTTGTAAAACCACAGAAAACTTTCATCAATGTGAGCCTTTTGAGAATAAAAAATCAATGTGCCTGTAATTGTGTCGAGGAGTATATAATAATAGCATCATCTACCTACAGCTATGCAGTCATATTGCCCTGTAGTTGCAATGTGAAACTGCAGCTCATCGCTACATCCTTAGAAGTAAGGTAGCTGTTAAATATTAGGAACATTTGGTAACTATACATGCCTTTATAGAGACTCGTCTGTATCGTTCTTACCAGCCATATCTAATGCAATAATAAAATCAGCCCTTCTAATTCTGTATAATATCTGTAGACCTAGTACTAGAGTATGTCTGTTGCATCCATGAGTTCTGTTGCAAAAATGTGAAGGCCAGCACTATCTGTAGTATTCTATAAAGTTGAAATTACTTTTGTTTTTTTTACTGACCTAACTTAGATGTGTTACGCAACGTTTAATTCGTCTTTGTGTTACGTTCATACTTTTGTGATGGAACAGGAATGTGACATGGTTTTGGACAATTCTGTTATGGTGGTCAAAATGTGCAGTTGCTAGGGGTCGAGCTGTTTGTTATATAGTCTCTCACTCCATTAACATTATACAGTAAAAGTAAACAAGTTTGGATAAAATTCTAAAGCAATCACTCAATAAATGGAAGAAGTAACACTTCTACGTATATTTTGAAGATTTCGACGAGATCTCACCAGTTTTTTTTAAAATATCATTTCATTTGAATACCAATTTGGAATCTTATTTGAAAAATCAGAAATTGGTCCTTGTTTTTTTTTCTTGCAGAAAGGTAAAGGTCTGTACTATCAAAAGTGAGACTATTTTTCAAATATAAAGTATGGATAGTCTATGGTTATGGTTGCAAATAGTACTGAACGAAAAAAAAAAACATTTATTTCATTCAATTACAGTTTTTGTAATCAATTATTAAATCGAATATTTCAATCATAATCGAACAAGTAGGTAACCTATAGTATAAGAATTTGAAGGAGGATTTAAAATTAAGATTTTGGGAATTCAAAATTTATTTTTATAGGTCATGTAAGATAATAGTCAACCACTTCAATCTATAGACAAGAATATTCACAGCAATTACACGTTCCAAACAAAACACTGTCAATGGTGATAGTCTTTGTTTTAGTGTTGAATTTTATCAAAGAATATCAGTGCCGTAGTACCGTGCACAGACGTGAACGTGACGCGACGTATACCTATTGGGAATGAGCCAGGCAGGCATATATTATTGAGTGTTTACCAATGATATTTATCCATAGTTGGGGAATTAACGTAAAGCCCCTGGCAAAGTCGCTATTGCACTTTTGCTTTGACCCAGGGGCCTTCCGCTTACCATTTATAAAATATATTAATAATTATTATATTACTGAAAAAAAACCAAATGAAGTAAAAAAATACATACAGTCGAGTTGTTGAAATTAAGTAGGTACTTTTCCTTGGGGAAATGTAACGATCTTTAGACCATGCAGCTTAGTATTTTTTAAATTTATATATGGTAGGTAACCCGTAGTAACTATTTTATTTATATTATCCCTACTCTGTAATTGTGTAGTCAAAACGCTTCCTTATTAACCTATGATATTCAAGTGATTTCTTCACCGCACATCAGTGTAAAACAGCATGTGAGTGGGACGCCGCATCTAGAACGCTAGTATATAGTATATAGATACTAGCGTACTAGATGATATCGTTGATAATAGTAGTGCACCTAAAATATGATGTGGTCAGGACAGTGACCTATTTGTTTACTTTTTCTGTATAATGGATTGAAACAAACTATACGCAGTGTTTAATGCAGGAATGGAATAAATTATATTTGTATCTTTATAGGTACCTGTCTTTCATTTCGGTCTTGCATATTTAAGCGTCATTGAGATAAAATATATATATTATATTTAAATATATATGTATACTTAGAATAATAACGCATAGAAACCTAGCTCGCACACGCTAACTGAGGCAATTGAAGCGCTCCCAAAGGGCCTACACGAGCGGGCGGCCCTTCAGTGCTCAAGGTCAACTTGCACCGCGAACAGCTCCAGAATTTTAGCTAAAAATGACGAAATGTGCGGTAAATGAGTGTAAAAATACGTCAGACAAACATAAAATAGATACTAACATCACATTCCACAAGGAAGTAATGCGTTTCAACTTGTATTTTTATATAAATATTCACTAAAATCGAAAATTAACCTACTACTAAAACTAGCCTACATGAATTTGATTTTTGCCTCACTTGTGACAGTTCGTTTGATATGAAACTATCATTCTATGCGTTATTATTCTAAGTATATAAGCTGTTCAGATTTCAGGTCTATAATTGTATGTTTGATACTGATTAGCAATTACATTATAATACTGTCTTTTACTTTAGGAAAATTAAGGACAACATGTTACTTAATGGGCATTCAACTTAAAGGTCGTTTATGCAATAGAATGTTAATGTCAATATATGTATAGTGTACATCAAAACGATCTAAACGGTAAAAGTAACAAAAATATTTACCAGATTCTCGATAGTAATTTTTTTTAAATCTCAATTATGCATGTTGGACACAAATCAATCTTGTCTCAATAAATTTAAGTGCACTTAAAGGTTACCTATCAGTAGTCCGAAATGACATTTGCCAAAAATAACGTTTGGTCGAAATTTCATAACCTCCAAAGTAATTTTGAGAGGAAAATGTTTTTTCTTTTAAACCTGACTGAACCTAACCTTACCGAACCTAATCGTGTCTTTGCGATAAACATTCAAGATATCCTGAAAGAACAACTGTTTCGTTATAATTCGGTTTTCGGTGTAATGAAAATTCGAACAAACGTTATTTCGGACAAATAATTTTCGAGTTTGTGATAGGTTACCGCACTTAAAACTAAAACACATCCAAAGTGGTCAATTATATATCTATGAGTTAAGAGTGCCCAATATCTGCATATTAGAGTAAAAAAAAACTTTACGACAATAAACTTAAGTGCACTTTTAAATACAACCAAAGTGATCAAGTATTAATACAATACTTTTTTTTAAACATCTTGTACTTTTACGTCGTCTTGGTTAGTTTTACCGCTTAGAATCTAATCTAAGCCTTAGATCGTTTTGGTGCTTATAGTGCCCTTAGCCACTTTATAAAATCATTATCATATTCAATGTATATCATATTCCACTTTTTATTAGCGTACTTAAAGATCTATACTACCTCAAATGGCTTTGAAAAAAGTGTGGAATCAATAACTTTGTCAAAAATATATAGTAAAACTGAGGACATACACTGATTACTATACAGTGTAAGAAAACCGATTCCTGAAAATTTTCATAATAGAAAAAAAAACCACAAACTTAACTCTTTACAAGAAAACTGCTGTCAATTCATTTGATACCTACTTTATGTATAACAATCATTGACTTACAATTATATGGACGTCGGGTCCGCGCTAAAAAGTGTCCGCACTTGTAAGGCGCTAAAATCATATACAGAGCGCCAAACTCCGCTTTAGTCTTCATTTGTTCGACTGACAGCGCGATACTGCGATGACATTACAATTTAAATTTCGAATAGGTTGACTTGGGACATTTTTTTCGTGGTTTTTGTATTAGACCCGTCTTCCATTTATTTGTAAGTCAATGATAACAATGATTTTTGTTACATCAACTGAACTAAATAGAACACGTATACTACCTATACGATGTACATTTTTCAAATGGCTTTCGCTTGTAAAAAAACATGCTCATGTTAAAAAGCCTTTTACGATTATTATATACTGTACGGTAGATATTAATAATCGTGCAGATATAGTCAAGAGGATATCAATCTTGCCAGTTTGGACTTTGAACCATTCTTATTGCACGTACCGCTTTATTATCCTTCATTTAATAAATTTGGGTATTTTTTTTATGATAGAATTTATTTTATTTAATTAATCGTGTAGGTGCCTACGCGATTAAGTCCCGATTTAAAAAAATCAAATTTAATGAGTAATCAATGTATGAGAGTATTTATTACAAGCTAATTATAATCAATGTAATATGTAAATATTTCAGAAATAAATAGATCGATTCCAACAACATACTCACAATCTTCACATTTGTTTTATTTCTTTTTTTAACTTACAAATGGAGGGGTAAAAAAATACAAAGTTTGTAAAAAATAGTCAAATTTATTGCTAGAATTAAGAGTCATTAATTAATCATTTATACTACAATAAATACTAAGTATTCTAATGAACACTAATAACTACCGAATTTCAAATCTAAATTGTTGTCACTAATATACTTGTGGATGTCGTTCATGTCCTCCATGCATTCGAAAGTGAACATTTGTAAATTTTCACACTTCTCAATCACTTGCTTCACTACACCTTTCGACACTTCCAAAGTGCAATCCATCCATAAACTATTTACATTTCTTAAATGCCCTTTTCCTAATAAATTCAATATCATATCGTCAACTTTTATTTTCGACTGGTATTTGAGCACTAATTTCTGGAAATTTTCAGCACACTCTAAGAAAATGCATAGCATTTGATCTAAGTTGAAGGCCGCATTGCCTAACGTTAACATTCTTAGCTCACTGAATATCTTCTTCGGCCGCTTAAAGTATCTTGGTATAACTAAACATTTCGACTGAGTCATGAGACATAGGGAATTTAAATTGGGACAACATTTACCTATAACCAACACCGACTCTAAAGTCAACGAATGATCTATCTCCCATAGGGAGAAGTGCGTCAAATAGCTGCCTTTTACAGCTAAAAGCTGCTGCATAGATTCCGTATAGGAGAAGAAAGCCAAATTCAATCTATTCAGTCTCAAATCGCTCATAGAAATTTGTTCCAATATCGCATCTTTATTGTGCAAAGATAGATGTGTAACTGACAAATCCCTCAGAAATGGACAAATTTTTATTAACTTCTTAATCCCATCCGCAGAGACAAAATGGCAATTGATTTTTCTCAAACTTAAAGGCCCTAAATCCATGACTGTCCCAATTAATGTTGAACCAATATCACAGGACTCGATTCTCAACTCTTCAAGATAAGGAAGCTCGCTGATTAACATGATGATACCGCCTTGTGAGACACAACGACCAATCCGAATTGCTCGTTCGTTCCTTGGTGGATCCATGGCTAATATTCGTAAATGTTTCAAATTTGCAATACTGCATAGACCTGCGTCAGAGACGTTCCTAATGAGAACGGAAGCATTGAAATGTGACTTGCAGATATCTACTCGAGAAACAATGTTTATTTCTTCAAGTAATAGACAACTGACGCCAATAAGATGGAGTATTTCATCAGTGCATATGAATTTAAGGTCGAGAACGACTAAGCGTGTGAAGTTTGGAAGGGTGCTGAGCCAGAAGACCTGTGGTATGCTGTTATCGAGATCGGATTTGCGGAAGACTGTCAGGTTGGGGTGTGTTAACACTTGAAGTTGAACTCGGGGTTCGCCGCAGTATAGACAGCATGTTCGTTCTGAACAGAGTACATCAAATAACCTGGAAAAATAAACATGTATTAATTTCAGGGTCACAAAAACTATAAAATGAAAAATGTGATTTATTTCTGGATTAATTATTTGTACACATACATTAATGTGTCCATTAAGTAGTGATCTTTGAGTAAAGCTCTTTAATACAGTAAATATTCCATATTATAGAAGACCAAAGCTAAATACCCAAGGAAATTAAGTACTGCACTGTTTAAGCACTGCCGACTTGTATTTTTTATGTTGATACTGTACTGAACAAGATTTAAAGCTTATTTTTGAGTGCTTTGTTTGGACAAATGAGTAGCCAAGTAGTGTAGGTACGCAGTCCATACAGTGAAAGATATATGTTATGAGATTTAACCAAAAGTAACCCCAGCAGCCTTTGACTATTAGGCTTAGGCATATTGTCGCTTAGCAGACAACCCTGTTCAAGTGGAAAATTGGCGATTTTTCTTTTGAATGTTACTCAAGTTCAAGGAAAATGTGAATATCAATAAAAATTTTACAAGTAACTCATATACAAATAGAGCACTTATTAGTAATAATAGATTAGAAAATGTTGTGTGCAATAATATTAATGCAGTTTTACACACTCCTTTAAAATTGCTCCAAATGAAGTAATGTGTCTTGTTTGCGAAGCGACAATATCTATTAATAATATGATGTAAGCATCACAGTTGTATTTTTCATACAAAACTTAGGGCATACTTGATCGGATGAAGCATCTGATTACATTTAGTGCATTTTAAGTAACATTGCGTCTTTGGCACTTTTCGCATTGTAATTTGCTGAGTAGACAAGAACAATCAAAAAGAAAATCAAAGAACACAAAACAAGAGCAACGTACCTGTCTGGCAGAAAATTCATCAAGTGAAGTTTCAATGCCACCGCCTCATTCTCGCACTCCTCAAACTTATTCTCGGGATACCTCTTTTCAATAATGTAACAAGCAGAATTAATCAAACTAATACAATTTTTTACACAAATTTTGAACAAACTATGTGGTTGTTTTCGAGGAGACATTGTATCACATTACAAAGAATTTTTTACTGAATTTTGTGTGGAATAAGTTTACGTTGCAAGAAAGTGTTTATAAAGTATTATTTTTGGTCAGTCAAGGAAAATCTTTGTGAGATATTTGATGAAAAACAGATTTCAACGGACTGTTTTCTTGCGAAATGAAATTTCATTGATTTGATGTTATTCTCAGCTGTTGCTGTCATTCGTTCCAATCAGTCATTCGTTACGTTCGGATACTCTTTGAAATTCACGTAACAAATTTAAAAAAATGGACGCATTCAACCCTTAGACTATGGAATTTTTTCCATCCTCTAAGATTCAACCAAAGTTTTGCAGTTGCTTCCGACATATTTTTTTTTATTTTTTTATTTATTAAGGCTTTGGCAAAGCCATCAGCCTAGACATGAAGTTTGTTTCTGTAAATATGGCCGCCACAAAGAGGATAGGCAATTTGAGACGGCGTGTTTGGATTGACTCGGGATTCCTTAAAACGGGCCGATACGGATATTTTAGTTCGAGATTCATATAATTTCGCGTTTTAATCTTCGATTAAGGCACAATAGCACTATCCTATTCCACTTTAAACTAGATTTCACAAAATAATTGAAAGTCAAAATAAAAACGACACTTTTCCCTCCAAAAGGTCCAGAGCGAATCCGTCCCGACATAATTAAGTAGAAAAAATATGAGTAGAGTTAAAACAAAGCTTTTTAAACTTAAGTTTTTTGAGCAAAAGTAACCGATCAGTCAGCCAAACCGAACTTTATTATTTCTTGTCGATATAGTCGTTGCCGGTTGAAAATTGGGTCAAAACATATTACAATAATTCAAAAATATTACAATTACAATTAAATAACACAAAAGGTACATTAATTAAAACAATTTCATTTTTGTTTTTATTTTATTCTTCGTTTCTCTGTAATACATTATGCCTAGAACTAGTAAATTGTAATTAAAAATATTCTATTAGTAAATAATACATATTCTATCTCACTAGGTGCTTCTTTTTAAACAGTAAATTGTATCTAAGTATATTTTATCATTATATCATTAATTGGGCATTAATAATCCAAGGCTCTTTGTAAGGTAACAATGTTATTGTTCCTGCGCTACGTGGGTATCTAAAAAAAGTTGTAGGAAGGTTGTAGGTAAGTACATTACGTGATAAATTCCAAAAATTCCAAGCAACCGTGATTTTCCGTTAATGCATTTTCTGTTTAAAAACGTATTTTTTTAAATAATATTACTATTAAAATGATAATAATGTTGATTGAAAGCTTGACATGGGTATTTGTCAAATTGTTTAATCATGTATTTTATTTCCTATTTTTAATTATTTATAATCTATCAAGTACATACTAAACTATCTAAACTTAACACATTATACTGTCAAATAATCTACCTAAAGCTATTATACATTATTTACAATAAAATATTTAAGTTGGTAGATATTTTATTTTAACATTTATAAAACTTTTGATACTACAAAGATATTTTGGCACTAAAATTTATGTAACATTTTTTATACTTCAACAGTAAATGAAAATGGCGTATGTAAGTAGTTATTCTGTCGTACGTTCTAAGTATGTTCTATTTCAAAAGCCTATCTACAGGACAGATTGAAAAAATATAATATTGTGCTAATTTTTGTACTAAATTGAAAATAGTTAATAAAGTTCGTATAGTTTACTATTACGTACTTCGTACGAATTTTTGGACGAGAAAAACTTTAGGAATTATCTCAATTTATATTATAATGTATACCAAGGTTTTTCAAGTACGTTATGTAATGAAAATTCTAGGAGAGCTATTACAAAATATATTTTTTTAAATAAAATACGTAGTGATAATTAAAGGATAAACCACACTTATCGAAGCGGAACTAGCTTGAGGCGATTATATTTTCACCACACTTGTCGGATTAAGCCGATTCGCTGTCGACGCAGATGACGAGACGCCAATTGTTTCTAAACTAGGATCAGCCGTCGTTGGCATGTGTGTTCGGAGTAAGTTGATTCGTTGCCGACCTATGTCGAGCCGCGTTCGTACGGACCGATGCTAAACGCAAAACGTCTTCGCTCTTTCGTTCATGGACATAAAGCTTTTTCTGACCGGCGTAATGCGATTCCGCGTCGATAAGTGTGGTTTGTCCCATAAATGTTTACATTAAAATTCAGAATATTATGTATTAATTTATTTTTAATATTCACTTTTATTTCAAAACAAATACATTTAGATATTTTTAAAATTTATCTCTTTTATTATGTATGTACCTAACATAAAGAAATACTTTCTAACAGAAGGAGTGTTTTAACTCATAAATATATTAATATTTTATTATTCCATCTTCTATTCCCTACTTACAATCTACCGCAATAGTTAATATTTTATTGCAATTAATAATAAATTGATAATTTTAATAAGTATATATAAGTATACGAGTTTCATAATTTTTGTGCAGCTGATAATATTTATGTTCTTCTAAAAACAATCAACGCAATTATTTTCTTTTGAATTAATTATAACATTAAATACTTAAACAATAGACATAAAATGGACATCCGATAGTAAAAATGACGATTTATATCACAACACAATTTTAAATCTAATCTAGAAATAATAAAATAACATAGTCGAAGTTCTCGTAAAAGAAAACGATCACCATCAATAATTGACCATAAGCCAGTTGTAGGCCACCTCTTGTTTGACTTCCATTCGAAATACGATTATTTGAATTAAAACGGTCGTTCGCACAAACACCATTTAAATTGGATCCGCCGTTCACTTCATTCATTCCACCTTCATTTCCATTCATTCGTTCATTATCTCTCTCAGTTTGAGCTAACGCGCGTTTTTCGCGTCTAATGTCGGACCTTTGAGATCCGTGATACACGCCGGATCAGAGTCTCTTGTGGGAATCTGTGCTGGAACTCTTCAAGGATCCAAATCGTCTCGTTCGGGATGTAGCTGGAGCCGGTGTTTCACGGTCTAGACTGGCTGCTCGAAGTATCAAGCCCCTTGATTGTGTTACTTCTGGTCGAATCTGAAAGATAATTACGTATTAAGGCATTTTATTAAACAACCTTGAGAGATTCAAGTTCATTATATCATAGGTCCGCAGATCTTTGCTTTTCTCAATGTTATGCAGTTTTACTGCCTCCGTGGTCGAACGGTTGCAATACTGGACTGGAATTTTTACTTTGTTTATTTAAAGGTAGATAGAATATTGCAAATATGACTTTCGCACCGGTTTACCAATTAACAATAGGCTGTAATTTCAAGTCTTTAACTCCAATCATGCTTAGCAATTATACAATATATTATATTTTATAGTTCATAAAATAACATGATATAAATAATATTATGTTGATCTTACCGGCTCTCCAACAGATCCGACCCGGAACTGTCTACTAGTTCTTGATCGAGTGCTGGGCTCAGTGAAGGACGTCTCCAGACTCCTCTGAGACGGATCACTTATGGATTGAGATAAAAGGTGTGTTGTAGACGAAGAGTTGGAGTCATCGATGTTGGAAAATTCATCAGGACTGTCTTCTCTTTGCGGGGTATCAGATTCCTGCAATCAAAAATTTTTTTAAGATAGGCAAACAAAAAATTAAGGATTAAAAAAGAGAAAAATTATGGATTATGGTAATAATCCAATCTGCTAGTAGCTGACAATAGGTTTTAGAATAATAATAATGATAATTTGTTTATTTGCTTAAAACATGATATAACAGAAGATGTTACAAGAGACAGTGCCAGTACACACAAACATGTTTCGCATGTATTAATTAGCATGCAAATGTCTAGTTATATAATATCAATCAAACTACCACAACACAATAATACAAAAATGTCACAAACATGTCAAGTTACAAATTAATTTGGTCAAGAATGATAATCTAAATGATAAGAAAAATGAATGAAAAAAAAAACAAATATTAGACCACTTGTACAGCTTTGTTTTAAACAAACTTAAGTGTGATAGTTTAATCGCAAGTGATATTTTATATGTCAACACACGTTTTTAAACAACTTTTACTGTATTTAGCAGTCATAGGAATAGTGTCAAGTACAAGTCTATTCGGGTTTCTGAAGTCTATTATTCACATCACAGGCTGTCTTAAACAAATATGTGTGTTTTCGTAAAAAGATACAAATTTCGTATATATACAAATGTAGATGGTAGTGGCAACAGACCAAATAGATCAAGCTAGCATTGAAAGTACCTGTTCTCTCTTGGAAAAACTCAAGCTATATTTGTAATTAATCCACAGGCAGAGAATTGTATTACTTAACTGTCCGCGTCAGGACAGATGAAGCGCAAGGCTTCGTGTTTGTTGGTGGTGATAATTATCTAAAGGAAGACACCAGTCCACGTCCTGTTTTCCATGAATTAAGGATACGAGAGGATGTGGTTTCGTAACGGTGATGATGCTTTCGAATGTGTTTAAAGTAAAGATTTGCGATTATAATGAAAATTATGTATAATGCTAATGTCCACGAATGAATCAACCTATTTCTTATCATTTCGTCACTATACACAATAAAAACGTTAATTACACTGTACGGTTAATACCGCACATTAAGTATGTTACCGCGTCAGCATTTTTATGTTTTTATGTTTAGTTATAATTTCTACACATTTGCAATCAAGGCATTGTCATAAGCAAGCGCGTATTTTATTTTGTAATCAAGTAAACGAAATAAATACCATTTTTTTAAGATCAACAAGGATTCTTTATTTATTAACATTATAATCAAGATAGTTTGTGTAGCAAGAACAAGACGCGAACAACACAATGTTTTTATTTCGAGCGTTACTTTTGGGAGTTGAAATCCGAAGTGAAATAGTTTAAGTACAATATACGATAAAGAATCCCATCTCAAAAGTTCCTGAAATTACACCTTTTTGCCAAGTTTTATTGAAATCGGGTACCCGAAAGTGCGCGAAACCGGGGTCATCCCTTATATTGCCACCCTTAGAGGTGGAATATTTTCTTTAAATTTAAATAGGACCAGTATTATATATAGGTAAGCTCTTTAAAAAAAAAGAATCATCAAAATCGGTTCACAAGTGCTGGAGTTATCGCGTAACATACATACAAAAAAAAACGCAGTGGAATTGAGAACCTCCTCCTTTTTTTCAAGTTGGTTAAAAAGGATAATAAACTTTTTACCTCTTCTAAATCTCTTAGAGTAGTAGGGTAGTGGTGTCTGCGTTCTTCTCTTTCCTTTTCCCGCTCTCTTTTCTCCAGCTCATCTGCTAGCATCATCACCTCCCAGTCTCCTCCGCTTCCTGATAGTGCTAGACAGAATTACATCACTTAAATTTCCATTGCTGGTAGAAATAGCAATTCCAGCAGTTGTTTGTTCTAAATTTTATTCGCGACAAATTTTAAATTTTTATCGTTAATTCTTTTGGATTCTAACATAACATAGCCTGTGACCAAATTTACGCCAGCTTTCAGAAATAAGATGGATAGTATTTAGATTATTCTAGTTTCGTCCATGCAAGTTATTTATTTATATATTTTACCTGTTGATTTTAAGTATGGATTAACTAGAGAGGACTGCTAATCGCGATACAAAACAACGTAGTCGGATATTTAGTACCTATTCGTACACCAGATGTCGCGACGAGTACCAAATAGCTATTTTTGTAAATAATTTGTAAAAACAAAGCTACTCTAACTTCTAGTGATAACAAACAAATCAACTAGATGGCGCTTATTGCACAGGTTTTTATGCCGACTATTTTCTTTGTTTAGGATTAGCGCCATCTACCCATATTAGGAAGCATTAATTTATAAATTAGTTTGTAACACACAATGCCATCTATTGATTACGCATATTCATGGTCAATATTTGAATTACAAGGACAAAAACTGACTTCTTATATTTCATATTAAAGAGCAATTACTTGATATCTACGACCATTTACATAATATAAATTACTTCCAGGTTATTATTAATCAGCGGCGTTTAGATACAAGACGAAATTTTCACCTTTTTCAGTAACTCTGAAAAAGGATACACGTAGTATGGAGATTAGCAGTCTTCTTGAGTTATTGATCCATGATTTTAAGTAATAGTTAAAAACATTGGAAGCGTACAAACAAAAGTAGTACCTCGATGGATAGATGATTTCGACAAGTGATTTTCTGTGTATTGTCAATTGTCTGCAAGACGCTAATAGAACATGAGATAAAATAATATACGAATGAAAATAAAATTAACAGAAACAGCAATGAAGAGTGTTTTCACCTCTTATAGGAGACACGCTTCCGTGACCCATGCTACTCGCTCGTGCCCGTCTTGATGAGCTTTCGACGAATTCCTCAAACACCGGAGTACGGGGTAGCGACTCTGAATCACTACTTGACGATGTTGATGTCCTGGTTAGAGAAAGTTTATTTAATGGAAAATTGGAATAGTTATTTGTTACGCAAGGCTGCAAAGTTGTTGTTGGACGTGAGTGGTTCTTATACAGAATCCTGAGCGTAGCGAGAGTTTCAAGCCACGTAACGCAAATCAACTTTTGCTGCCGAGCGAAACACACAACTTTTTACCACACTATAGCGAGGAAAATGGCAGATGAAAGAAAAACAGTTGAACTATAAGAAATAAATTTTAATAAATTAAATTAGTAGGCATTAATAATACAATTGTTGTCAATTTAATGTCAACAATAATAAGAAGAAAATATACCAACGGATTTATACGAGTGTTACATAAATAATGTACGACATATGGCGTAGTTGAATGTGTGATTATGTTTTTTTTTCATCGAAAGAAAAAGTTAGGTGCACCATAGTCTATCATCAAGTTCGATTTTCAAGAACCTTTTCCACGCTAGTGTGGAAAAGCATATACTGGATGGGAAAAGCGCTTTTACGCGCAGATTTCTAATGAGACAGAAAGCCTTTCTTAGCTAGTGAAGTGAAAGAGTATTTTTAAATGTTCTATATATATTTTTTTGAAGTGATAAGCGGCAGATCGAATAGGAATCAGAAGTTACGAAAGCTAAAGAGCTTGAATCCAAATATAGTTAATTATTAGCTTTTCGATCTTATACGAATATCGGATGCAATAACATAAATCATCATCATCAACCCATTTATACGTCCCACTATACGTGCCACCATTTATACGTGTTGGGCACGGTTCTCTTCTCAGCTCTCATGCTCGCCTGATGCGGGTTGGAGACTTCAACTTACTTACTTACGTTTTCCGAGGTTTGTGAACCTTCGTCAACGTGCAGTTTTCATCACGATTTTTTTATCGACCTTTCAAGTAGCAGTATAAGCCCCTTGTGAAAGAGGTCGTCGAGTGAAGTATACTGTCACCTTACCTATAATTGCCGCCAAGCAGTAATGTGAGCCGTGTATAATTACCGTGTTCCGGTTTTGAAAGATAAGGGTGCTGGTCAAATTACAGGCACATGGGACTTGTCAACTTATGTCTCAGTGCCCTAAGATCTGTGATTTAAAGCTATTAGTGGTACTGTAACTGTTATGGATAGGCGTGTCGCTTACCACCAGGTGCACGACTTGTTCGTCACGTCACTTGGTTTTATAAAAAAAATAATCGAAAAGTTGTAATTCAAGTTAAATTCGCACACAAATTCCGAGAAACTCATAGATGCGAACCCGGATTCAAACCCACAAAACCATTAGGTTACCACGGCTAAATAACATACAAATAAATAAAACGTACATGGATGCTGATAAGAAAATGTCACCTAAAGAGTTCTTCGTTGTTTTTAATAGTTTGTTTTTAAATTTACTCGTAAAATGAAAATGTTTGCTAATTATCGCTGATTACATTGTGTTCGTTATAATGATGATTTCTAGGGAACATGGTGGTAGATCTAGATAACAGACAAACAAATTTTAAGAAATAAATGTTGTAAGTGCAACTCACGTATCACTCCAACTATAATCGCTGCCAATGTCCAAGACAACTTCATTGCAGTTGTGCGCTGGCTTTCGGGGCGCCCCTCGGTGGTAGCCGAACAACGAACCCAAACTGAATTTGCGGTGCTGACGTTGCGATTTTAGCCCTGTGGATATCCATTATAGTAGATTTATACGCTCATATTTTTTTATGATATATAGCTATTTCTTTCTTAAGAGAAAGAAATAGCTATATATCAATTTTCTCAAGTCAAGACCTGAGATGATTTATACAAAAGGACTTGAGGTGATTTATACAAAAGTGAACGAGAAATACTTAAGGCTGGTTTCAGAGCAGCGCGGATTTATCTGCGAACCGCCCACGCGGAGCACTGGAGCGGAGTAACACGCGTGGTGTTAAAACATCGTTTTACAGTGACGCAGATTGCTCCGCACGGAACAACTCCGCGTGAACTCCGCACACACACGCTTGTGTTCATTGTAGTCAACTGTCTTCCGTGAGTATCTTGAAATTAAATGAAATAACGGGCACATGGGACTTGTCAACTTATGTCTCAGGGTATCGGGCGCAATGGCAGTGCCTCTCAGATTTTTGCGATTTAAAGTTCTGAGGCAATGCAACTGTTATGGACAGGCGTACGGCTTACCATCAGGCGTACCACTAATTGTTCGTCCCGTCACTTGATTTTACAAAAAAAAGGAATATCTGATCCTCGATTCAGAGCATTGTGGATTCTACGCATGCGGATGAATGAAACCAGTCTAAATCTATTCTGTTCTTACTTCTATCTCTATCTTTTCGTCCTGTATGGTGCATCCCAGTATCAACAGAAAGCGTCTTCTTGATCTTCGACTTGGTGTTGTCCAAGTGAGTACCGAAGAAGTGGAATGGATGGACTCCACGTCTGCTTGTGCGGAGACTTGACTGCTCTGGACTCAGGAGGGAGCGGTCTTCGGAAGTTGTGTGTGGTGACATAGGCCTGAAGATTTCACTATACTGATTAGGTACGATCAGAGATGGGGAGTTTTAACTCGGAGCATTGTTAACGCCAGGTTTAAATCGGGTTAAAACCCATTAACGCCCGAAATCGAGGGCAAAAGCTATTTACTGAATATTTGTTACAAATCGAGTTTTGTTCAAATTGAACGATATTATTACAAAATGTTTATTTGTTTTCTGATCTAGACGCTTCGATTTGCCTTTCTATTGAATCGATACGCTTATAAATTGCATTGAAATAAATCGATACAACAAATCGTTAAATCGTATGCATTTGAATCGATTCGAACATATGGATGAAACCAGTCTAAATCTATTCTGTTCTTACTTCTATCTCTATCTTTTCGTCCTGTATGGTGCATCCCAGTATCAACAGAGAGTAGAGAGAATCAACACAATGAAACTGTTTCGTCTCAAAAGATTTTTTACAAGTAAATTTGTAATTAGTTTCTATGTGTGTGTCCATGGCACCCGCGACACAGGGTTTTCCATAGTGCGGGTCTATGTTGAGTGTGTGCGTTATTTAAAAAAAATAATTATGTACGAAATTATGCAAAATTCCGTATTCACCGTTTCCGAGCACAATTTTGAGAAGAAATGGGTTAAAACCCGGTTACAACCCAGACTGGTTGATTGAGTTTGAACCCACTACCGAACTCTGTTAATTACTTATATTGGACAAATTCGAAAATGTCTGTTTCCTAACACATACACGCAGGCCGAATCGATTACGTATCCTTTCTTGCCTACCAACCTATCAACTGCCAGGGGCGTTAAGGTATACGATATAAAGGCCGCGAAGTGCCTATTGTCAAAATATTCTCAATGAGATACGAGTACCTCAGCTACGTAGATATAATATGTATTTTCGAACGTTAAGAAATGCAAACAAGTCTTTCAAAAGCACTTCTTGGATTGCTTTCTCCGCCTCCATTCATATTAACTCTGTACAGGGTTTTTGAACGGAGTCTTACTCGAATTGTGTTTTGAATAAATAAATTGAGTATATAACCAGGAATAGAGACGCTGAGAAATAGAGAAGCTGAAACAGTACAGTGTCAACAACTGGCCTGTGTGTACGTCTCCGTATATTCCAAAAATATTCTGTATTTAATGTAATAAACAATATCTCTAACAATGGGGGGCTGTCCCATTCGGTGGTGTGCGAAAAACAGCAAAACATCTAATTATAAAACAAAGGGAATAACGTTTCATCGGTTATTAAATACTAAATATGTAATTTTTAAATTTTCATCCATTATAGCAAAGCTCAAGGTAAACTACTCGATTTGAAGTGAAACAATTGACGGCATCAAAAAGCAATTTTAATGACATTTCGTCTCTATTTCTGGTTATATACTCAATGAATTAGCCCACAGTCGAAATAGACTGAGGCTTTACGATTGCTGAAGAAGATAAAAAGTAAAAGCTATGTATATACGCCCAACTCATACCTTGTCAAATCTTGCATCTCCACACTCTCTTTATCACTCTGATCTTCCCAAGACTTTCGCTGCCTTAACTTTGCTGCTCGTTTTCTCGAATACGTTCCTGCTTTTCCATCAAGATTCAAGTCTAAACGTTTTGACTTACTAATCGTCCACTCTTCTTTATTCGACGATGTTATGTCCGTTCTGCCAGACAGAGATTCTGCTAAATTTTGTAGCTCAGTATATGTAAGCTTTGATAGTTCGATTCCTTCTGTCATTTCTGTTAATTTCTCGTCAGTTAGATCAGCTTCAGGGGATATATTTTCTTGAGTAATTGTTTCAGATTTGTGTATATCTTCTTCATCAGCACCTACAGTTGGAGGTGATGTTGCAAAAACGGTGTCAAGTGAATCACCCCTCTGAAAGTGGTCACACGTTGATTAATCTGACAGTCAACCAATTAAAATGTTAAGCAAAATTATTACGTTATTCTTTGTTGAGATTGTCCAAGTTTGAAAAGGAAGATTATAAAATTATTTTTAGTCTCTTAAAAAGGACAACAACAGGAAAATAAGTAGATCAGGTCCACATTAAAAACACTTAAGCCCGGAAAACAATAGCGAACTGTAACGTGACAGATACAGTAATTTGGTTCTATTGTGTGCGCGTGAAACAGTATTCACTCGCTAGAATGGGATCTGGTTATCGTCGGCTCATTGCGAACCGCACGCGTTCCACTCGCAGCAAGCTCGAAAACCACGCACACACTTTGGTAACATAACATGTAACGGTTACAATTCACTAGTAGGTACCCGGCTTTAAAAAGACGTGTAACTTTCTTTCGAAATAATATATTTGAAAGTATTCTCAACTTACCATAAACCCTTCCTCGGTACCAGATGCATCGTCACTTCCCGAGCTACCATTTTTCGATATTGTTTGACTAACACCGGTTACTTCACCAAATTCAGTAGCTTCAGGTAAATCTTCAGTCGGCGGCTTACTAGAATCGGTACCTGATAGTCCAAGCCTTTCTAATTCTTGGATTCGTTTTTGCAATTGACTGATTATCTCATCCCGTTTTCGGACTTCATTTTCTAAGCTGTTGAACCTAAAACGTATTAAGCTCAGTGTTCTTTTGTGATTGTGTACTTAGAAGCTGACGTGTGAGACGTAAACATTTAAAGAAAACTGTATGAGTATTTTAATTACCTTTCTTGAAATTTTCCTTGGACATCATGTAAATGACCTTGAATAACCTGTTTGATACCTAATAGCACTTCTCCGAAATACTCTTGCTCTTCTAATGAACCTGAAAAGATAATGTTTTCAATAATGTAACCATTGGAATAATAGATAACCTTCAAGTTGATGGGTAGGAACTAACTCACCTCGCAACAATTTTCTTTGATTTGCAACAGCAGATATCAATGTTAACTTTGGTTTTTCTGACGGCACTTTTATTTCTTCAGGCCTTAAGCTTTTGAAGTCATATATAGGATCCATATTTTGTTGCAATTCGTATTCGGTTCTAATGTTTAAACCGTAATCGTGAGCTGTGACGACAGTGTCATTTGTGGATATAGCTATTTGATTTTGAGGACATATGGTATCTGTTGGTTCTGTGTCAATAGTAGTTTCTGGAGAAATTTGGGGTAACGATTCTATGTCAGGTTCGGGCATTTGGAATACTATCTCACCTTTGATCTCGGCTGGAGTGCTGCCAGGGGGTGATGGCAATGTGTGACGATGAAATGTTACACTTTTAGCAAATTTGGAATGTCTCGCGGCGTACCCTTCTAAAGTTGGCGCTCTAATTAACTTCCTGAGTTCACTGCTCCGTTCTGGACTTTCAGCTGGAGTAGTGTCTTCAGACAATTTCTTCAAAATTGACTTAAGCGTTCTTCTTTCTAAAGTTTCATTAGACTCATGGCATGGCATTTCAGTAGAATCTGTTGATTTTCTTTTATATTTCCGTTTGTCCATAGTGCTCCCTTCTGAATGACTTCTAGTTAACGTATCGCATAATAAATCTTCAGATGAACTAGTGCAATCTAAACTAGAGCTTCTAAATTTTACAACTTGCTCTAATTCTGCCAGTTTTTGCCTTTCATTCAATATTTTTAATTTCTTTACAAATGGTAAACCACCGTATTCGGGCGACAAATCGTCTATTGACCTATATTTTTTTGATCTTGGATGCAACATACCTGTGCTTGTGGCTATTTTACCACTCTCAGCTTTTGTAATATTATTTTTCTTTGGAGATAAAGTTAATAAATCTAAAGATTTCTCTTGGACGGGTTCCAAAGGGCCTGTTAAGCAAATCTTAGGTTTATCTTGCTTAACGTTATCACTATCGACTTCAATATTATTATTGTCTATTTTTACAAGCTCCGCTGTAGTGATAACAGGAACGCTTATATTTACAGCAGGTTCTGCACTACGTTCTTCTTTTGTCTCTTTATGAGGAGCTTCAGTTTCACTTTTTTCATCTACACTAGACTTACTTTGGCTTTTAGATTCTCCTAATATAGCAGCTTTTTTTAATTTTGACCAAGGTTTCTTATTTATCGCCTCTTCTTTGCTTTCGGTATGCATGGGCGTTGTTTCTACTGCATTTTTATCAATAATCGGTACTTTAGCTTTATCTGCACATGTATTGTCTGTATCTTTTCCACCGCTTTGTAGTAACTTCAATTTATCTCTAAATGTCGAGCCTACCGCTTTCGCTGGAGATTTGATTTTGCTTACGACTGAATGTGGAATAGAAATGAGATTACTTTCTGTTTTGGGCGTAGGTTCAACAACAGCTGCAGGTTTCTCATTGGCATCTTTACTTAAAGGTTGACTGACAGCAGTACCATCACTTTGTACTTGTAGAATTTTATCTCTAAAACTAACTTTAGGTCGCGATGCTCCGTCACTGGAGCCTGATGAGTTTTTCCTAGATGTTTTAGCTGTAGGACTTTGGAGTTTACCAGGAGAGCTCGACTCTGAACTTTTTCTAATTGGACTTAAGGTTTTTATTGTTGGGCTTAGAGGGCTTTTGACGGAGCTTGGGCTTATAGTTTCAGAGCTAGACGGTTGATTACTGTTCGCTGCAGTTAGTTGATTCTTTTCTCGTTCCTCTTTGGCTTTAAGGAGTAGGAGTCTTTGGAGAAGTGGAAGACCAGCTCCGATGACTTCTGGTTCTGCATCTGGTGCTGAACTAGTTGATGGTATTGGTTGAGGTTGAGGAGATACAACAGACGATGTTGAATGTCTTTGTTTTGCTACTTTTTCCTCTCGATCCTAATTGCAAATGAAATTGGTTGGTAAGTTTCTTGACAAGGGTCTATTTACAGCAAAAACTTCGCTTTCGAATTATTATTGAGAATATTTTGTTAAGTAAACGTTAAAAAGTGCTGATATATTTATATTGTTGTAGATAGATTCTTACCTGTTTTTCTTTAAGAAGCTTTAAGCGAGATAGAAGAGGTAAACCAGCACCTATTGGAGATATGCATTTTTCTCCATCTTTGCTTCCTGACGTTGTTTCTCCATTGTGGTCCTAAATACAAAAGAAATATTATAGTTGGATATTTACACCCCTTAAGGATAATTTAAACCACCTAATTAAGGATAATTTAAATTTCACATTTTTTGAGAAATTGCGCTAATATTCTCATTTCGAAAACACATCCCAATGGTCTTGCGTTTGGTAAAGATTTTCATAACAAAAAGAAAAGCATAAATCCATCATATTATATGCATAGTATATAATAAACAAGTATACTTTACTGAAATTTATAAAGTGTATGTTTTTGTGTTTAAGAAGTAGGTATTTTTCTTGACTTTCAGATATAATTTTTATATGATATAAAAAAAAAATTACTTCTAGATTATGGTGTTGCGAGTCATCGCTCTCGACTCTGGGCATTCGCCTTAACACTTTTCCTTCGGCAGCTGCCCTTTCAGCTCCAGCCAGTTGATGTAATTCCAGAGATTCTCCAGATCTTCGACCTCCTCTAGATTTATTTCTGATGGCATTGCGAATACCCTAGAAGACCATGTCAAGTCAGTTGGTATGTTGAGTTTTGTGTAAAGGCAGACACGGGGGTTATATTATCAGCAACGTATCTTCAGTTTCTGATTATCTTACCTTAACATCACTTCGAAGTTTATGTACTATCCTTTTCGGAGCACTGTCGTCTCCTGCTGCTTTATCTGGACTTATTTCTGTGAGAAAGATAAATTATTAGACACTCTTGTTAACATAATACACAAGCAAGCTTTCCTTTCTCTTGGAATAGCTTGATTTCTGAAATAAAATGCATGATTTCAGATTCCATTATAGCATTTTGCGAAGTTTGAGCAAATTTGCCTTAATTGTATTTAATTGCTTGAGACCCTCTGTCCTTTTACCTTTCGCGTGTTTCCTCGCCATGTTCTTAGCCTCTTGTAATCTTTTCCTGCCTAAAGTTTGGAGTATATCCTGAGCTTCTGGGTAGTCCTTCATAGCTGCAAGTACGTCTTCTCTGGACAAGGAGAATAGTTCCGAATATCCCACAGATCTGACGTCAGCTGTCCGTCTACAAGATAAAGTAAAAGAAATAAAACTTTGGACTATTGGTTTTTTCCATCTTCTAAGGGTAAAATTAAAGAATTAAAAGAAAGAAAAAACAAACCGCCTGTTGACAAAGATCAAGGCAAAAATCTTGCAATGCATTTGGAAAAGTGCTTCAAAAGTAAAAAAATGAGGGAAAGGTATTAAGGAATCAAATTATAACTTTTTTCTTACGGTTTATTTCTCCATTGTCCTATCATTATTGGAAAACGAAATCTTACTTGTTAAGTCCATCCAGATTTAAAATGCCTATTTCTCCAAAAAAATCCCCAGCTTTCATAGTGGTTAACACTCTGCCGTTTTCTGATATAACTTCTAATATACCATCTGCTATAATAAACATTTCTCTTGCTACTTCACCTGAAACAATTGCCATGAATATGATAGTCTGAACCTGTAATTTTTGTTTGATTTAGAGTGTTATTTTAGAACTTTTTCAATGAATATTTTAAAGAAATAAAAACATTATTTTCCTTTTTCCTTTATAGGTGCCTTCAAATTAGACACTTTGTAAAAGCGCTGTTGTGGCGCGACTGTGGCGCTTCAGTAATTTTTACTTCACTTATTGTGACTGCAAAAGTGGCGCGCGCGTAAAGCTGCGCTTTAAAATATTCTATGAAAATTGGTAGTGTAGACACCACTGCAGTGTTTCTATAAGGATATAATTTGAAGACCCCTACAGATTTATTACAAAAAGGATACAAATTAGTACGGAAATTGTGATTTGTTCAGTGAAATGAAACATTTTTCACATCACTAGGCCAAATTATCAAACATTTTCCCTTTTAAAGTTGCCAATATGAATCGAATGATACTTTTCAAAATTCTACGCTTCAATTAAAATGACAACGATATGCGAACTTACCAGTTACAAAAGAAATTCGAAGTGATAGATATTATCAGCTATATGAGATATTGTACCTTACCTTTTCTACATATTGAGTCGCCAGGCGTGAAAATGTATGCTTTCATTTTTAACACCAGATCGTGGAGGAACTCTGGTTGACACTCTTGAAATATAGTAACCTGAAAAATATATCGAAATATTGAAAAATATAAAACGCCAATTTATAGCGTTTCTCGGCAGAGTCTGTCATAAAATAAACGAACTTTTATTGACTAAGACACCAATCATTCTTTTACGAATTGTCTTGTTAATTAATACGACTTTAGTTTTCAACTATAGCTTGTCCCTAACATAGTTTTAATATTTTTACTACTAAGTTTGCATCGTCTAATAATGCAAACCTCAAGTTATGACTTTGTTTTTACCTTCTTTAATACACTCAGATTAACATGCAAAGCAAGTTCAGTCTTCAGCTTGTCAGGCAACAATCCTAAAGCAGTATTGATATCGCCGCCTCCCTGTATCCTGCCTCTTGACCAGGAGTAGTCGTACCATCGAAGTACTCGACGTTTCATACCTCCGGGCACCTGTGATTAAAATATAGTAATGGTACTAATACATATACCAAACAAGATTTCATATACTACGCTCGAGATCAGTGAGGCAATAATCATAAAATTCTCAAGGGTCGTGACTGCAATAACGCTGTCAGTGTGTTATATTTGTTCCTGATCCTTACGTGGCCTAGTAACAGTGGTTATTCGTTTTTTATGGCATTCATACCGGAACAGGGCTTGACGATCCCTGACGTGAAGTTCTATGTAAGTATTCCTAAAATTATAAATGCCTTTGCTAGTTGTGAGACTTAACTTTAGTCTCCTTGTGCCTTAGGCTTGTGCCTTGCGTCTTGTGCCGTAGGGATAACCAACCTTCTACACGTATAAAGAATAATACTTCGAGTTATTTTCATACTTACGTAATTTGGTCTGTTCTGTGGTTGTTTTGTCTCCTAGTCTCCTTTTTGTTTATATCAAAGAGGTATTAGACTAATTTGCATAAATGAGGATATTAGTGTACTAAAATGCTCACCTTATGATGCCTCATATAGGTCTTAGCGCCATCCAATAAGCGTTCAAACTCGAGTCTGTTAGCGTTTCTATTGGTGATCACATTCCCAACCTGACCAACGATAGTTGCGAAGATAAACACGCCGATCAGGTAGCTGACTATTGTGAAGACGTATCTGAGAGAAACGGGGTTTGGTTAGAGATATTCTAGACTCGGATAGTGGAAGAATTCGTAAAAAATTAGATTGCTAATAAAAAACACATGTAGTGACTGTTGAGGATATACATATATACATAGTATAATACAATTATAGAGGTATAAAGGTCGGTATCAAATGAAATAGCCAATGTTAAAACATTTTAAAAATAATTGTAAAGATAAAAGATAGTGAGAAGATTCTTATTACAGGATGGAAAAGAAAAAACCTTGATGTTTTGGTCATATAGAATGAATTCGTAAATTAATGAATCTAAGGACCAAAAACAAACTGGCGTATACAGAAAAACGAGAGGAGGAAGCGATTAAGGTATGTCAGGAGCGTAACGGGTGGATGTTCATAGTCTTTGTCTACCTAATTGGGAGACAAACGTGATCGTATATATGTATGAAGGTATGGAAAAAATAATTTTGGTGCACTCAAATCGTTTATACAATTATAAAACTTTCTTTCTTTTTCATGGAATCAATGAACTAGAAATTAAAATCCATAAACGACTAAGGAACATAAAAAAATCAATAAAATGTGCAAAGTTTTCGAACAGTTGCAATAATACAAAACACTCAAAAACTAGACGAAGTACAAGCGACAAATTCAAAATGGCGGTTTCATTAATGTGAAGGCTGTTCGAAAACTTTCGAGAACGCTCATAAACCCGACTACGAACCGATGAGTAAAATAAAAGAGAAAATAAAGTAAAAATATGAGAAAAACATTCTATGTTTTTTATTTAGCATGGCAACAATTTATGGTAATTGTCGTTACACGAAGTTTAGTCGTCTTCGACAGCCTCCAAATTTCTGCCGCCGCCATTTTAGTAAATTTAGGCTGTTTCCCCCCAAAACATGTAGGCAAACAGTATAATATTACAAACCACATGGTGAAAATGAAGTCATAATTGAGACAAATAGCTGGTAATTTGCGCAAGACACGTAAGAAGAAACATTTTCTATTTACAATTTAACGGAAATTGTTATTATTATGATGGACGACTTTGTAGTGCAAAGCCAAATAATATATTATACACATCTACCTATGTACGAAAACGTTTCCGCGTGCGGTACATTTGCCTTAATCTTCACCTTGTTAACAATAATATGTTACTTATTTGAGTTTTACAAGAAGATTACCTACATACAAAGACGCCTACTACAATATTGGTGAAATTTGAAGCCAGTTTGATTTATAATGTAGTTGGGAAACAGCCTTTCAATTCAATGTTATTTTATTAATAATACAGATATTACATTGGTCAGATCACGTTAGGTCAAATTGTTTCTCTAATATAGAGATATGGTCACATAAGAAGAAAGACGCATCGTCTTATCGTTTTTTTAGGGTTAGAAATGACGTAAATAAAGAAGCAGTGAGAGTAAACGTTTTTCTTCGGTCAACAAATTACAGCAAAGGAAAAACATTGTTAGAAAACAAATAACATTCGCAAGTGATACCGATAATATGCCATTATTTTATAAAAAGTTTTCGGTAATGTTTGACAGCTCTGTTTCTCAAAGTTTTTTAAAGTGTTTGAAATGTATTTAGTAGCCATGTAAAGACATACATTTTTCATTTAATTAATAACATTAGTTACAGTAGCAATAGAGCTCTTTGTGAAACAGTTCATCCAGGGAATTACTGCCACTGTAGTCACCGTACCTGTTTCTGTCGTCAAGTATGAGCGTTACTAGGTTCCGGTTTTAAGGGTAAGGATGCTGCTGAAATTACAGGTACATGGGACTCGTCAACTTATGTCTCAGGGTATCCGGCGCAGTGACAGTGCCCCTCAGATATTTGGGATTTAAAACTCTGAGCGGTGACGCTTACCAGCAGGCGCACGACTTGTTTGTCCTGTCACTTAGTAGGCATCATAACAAAAAGTCAGTACTCCCGAGTAAAAGAATGTAATATTGACATAAAGGTACTTATACTTATATGTTTGAGAACTTTGTTTCATGGTATTTATTAAAATGCTTCGCTTACAAAATTACCGAATGAAATGGTGCCGGGATAAAAAACCCAAAATTTCCTTTTGTCTAATGCTAAAAAAGCAATGTTACAGTATTATCTAAAATGTGATAAAATAAATTCTTAAATTTTATTTGATTTAAGTAACGAAAAGCGACGATGAACAAGAGAAGAGTTTGGAACGAGAAAATTAATAGGACGCTAGACCATTTTCGCTTTTTTAAAATATTTTTTTTTGCACCGTTAACAAAGAAACTTTTTTAGTAGATATTTCTATACATCTAAATTGCTGGGAAAGGGGAAGAGGTCGTCATTTTGAAGCAATCATAATTTTATTACTTTTTATAATGTATTTTATTTTACTTACAATAAATAGTTTACATCTATAAGTTTTAATTAAATCACTAGATAAATAAACATCTTACCATTTCTTTTTTCCTCTATAAAGGGCGCCAACAAAGTTATGCTCAAAACTCTTTGATATATTCAGGAACTAAAAAAGGTCGAGCGAAATGACAAAGCTGAAGTAATGGAGGAAGGAAATAGGAGACGTCATCATTAATTTTGTTATTGGGTTTATCCTTTCCAGTTACGAAGTAAGACAATCTTGGAATTTAAGAAATTCTGGGACCAAAGTTTGGTGATTTTCTTGAAACCATTGATCGTTGCAATGCCATAGAATTCATATATGCTAAAATCTATTTGGAATGACAGTAACGCCGTACCTGAGAAGCATTACACTGTAACCGCCATTTTTGTAATTTTACAGGAGAAGCGATTTTGTGTCAAAATGCGGCATGTGTAACATTTAGGATGTCATAAAAATAACACTGATCAATTTTCTAATATTCAAAGTTTGGTAATTAGAGATCAAGGCTGTTTACACAGTGGGATCAATTTATTATTTTTAGCGATATTTACAATAAAACAAAAAACTAGTTCACATACCGTGTTCTTCTTTCAAACAAAAATGAAATAGAAAAAAGTTTCTGTAATGCAATTAAATTTCTTAGAAATTAAAAAAATACATCACGAAAATTATTGTTATTATTATTTCAACTAAAGTAACCTTTGTCAGTATCAGTCATCCCATCACACAGTCGGTAACTACAATGAGAATTAATAATCTCAGTACAGAGTACTAAAAAAACCGACCTCAAAAGTTTATGCAGATGATATGGTGCTGCTGTGCCCGTCGATCAGTGCGCTAGTAAAACTATTAAGTATTTGTGAGGAGTATGCGATGACTCACGGTCTAACATATAACACAAATAAAAGCGAGCTTTTAGTGTATAAAGCCGGTAACAAAGCCCTCGCTTCAATCCCCCCTATTTATTTGTGTGGTGCGCCTCTCAAGAGAGTAGCAAGGTTTAGATACCTAGGGCACTGGGTCACACAAAATCTGCAGGATGATGTAGATATGGAGAGGGAGCGCAGAGCGTTGGCCGTACGTTGTAATATGTTGTCACGCAGGTTTGCGCGTTGTGAGGGTAATGTCAAAGCCACCCTTTTCAGGGCGTTTTGTCAGACCTTCTATACGTGCAGCCTGTGGACAAATTACATTAAAGCGACAGTCAATGCCCTGCGTGTCCAATACAATAATGGTTTTAGGATGTTATTGGGGCTGCCATGATTTTGCAGCGCATCAGGTATGTTCGCGGACGCGCGTATTGATAGCTTCAGCGCGATGATTCGGAAGAGAACTGCCTCCCTGATGCGTCGCGTGCGTGGCAGTTCCAATAGCCTAGTTCGTTTGATCTGGGAGAACCCTGTCAGTGAATTGTGGAAGCACTGAAACTCAGTCCACATGGGTTCCAGGGGTTTAATTTATAAGTTACTGTAATATTTCGCAAATTTAGTACTAATATAGGTTGTAAGATTTTTTTTGTAACTAACACTAATATGGACTATGTCTGAAATAAACTTTTTGATTTTTTTTTTGAATTTGAAAAGTAAGTGGCATTACGTCTATTTGTTAAGTTTTATTGAAATATCCCCTAGTTCGCCACTATACAGGACTTGACACAGGAGATAATAAAAATCGGTTCTCACTACTCAAAGTATATTGAGAGAAAAATGCCTTGAATTGGAGAAATAGCAAAATCAACCATTAAAGTAATTGCTCCTAAATTAAAGTTAGGCGCTATTTATAAAAATGAATCTTCATGCGTGAACAGTCACCCTTCGAGGTGGATGCTTTTCTTCAAAATGAAATGGGACAACTATGGAAGTACCCCCTTTCCAACAAAAAAAAAGAATCATGAAAATCGGTTCACAAGTATCGAAGTTATCTCGTAACATACATACAAAAAAAAGAACAGACGAATTGAGAACCTCCTCCTTTTTTTAAGGCGGTTAAAAATACAAAACCATTGTAGGTACCGACTATATGATGGAATGACTGATTCCGCCAAAGGTTACTTTAGTTAAAAATAAGTAGGTACTATTTTGGTTTTGTTGCTACAAAATTTATGAAAGTTCCTTTTTATGTTCAAAATAACTTTTTTTATTAGATTTGCATGAAAGTAGTACAATAATTCCTGATATTGCGGAGTCATGTACGTGTACTATGTAAAGTGATTTATCCCTTGCGACGTTGTGGTTTAGGAGGCGTCCAGTCAAAATCGGAATCGTTAATGTCTGTAGCATAAGGATCAGCGGGAGGCAGAATGAGGCAAAGGCAAATAAAGAACGATTCAAAATTTAAAAACAAGTGGCCAGGAACCAGAAAAAGTGATAAAAAGGTGGGATAACGTTGGAAGGAGGTCGCATTGTCACACTGCTAAAGACAACGGATATGGGCATAGAGGTAGCTGCTTGCTGGGCCAAAGAATTTCTGCTGGTTTCTGGCATTGACTACACAAGAAGAAGACAACGAGCTTTTCTGTTACTAAAATTATTAATACAAAGATCGTACGCTAAGCAAAATTCCTTCGCTCCGGCTGGAATTGAACTAATGCCTTCAGCATATCATGGCTGACGCTCTCCCAATT